ATAACATCCCTTTGTGCAGAGTCCCCCTCATGCCCTTTGGCTCCCTGCGTATTCCTACATTCAGGAATGACCACCATGGATCACAGCACTAGTGCTACAATCACTGCAATCACAGCAGGTAGCAGAGCAACTCTCACTTTCTCCACACTATGAGTTACAGCTACAGACAATTCTCTCCTCATCCCACCACTCATCTATGTTCCATCGTATCCTGATGCTCGTCGGGCACTCAGGTTTATTTGCAGTCCCCAGAAGGAAAGTGGAAAAACTGGTGTCAGGAAACTTAGTGGCAAAATAAGGAAAACCATTCTTGCCCTGTTCTGCACATCACATTTATGTAAAACCCAATTCCTTATAAATGAGGGACACATACAACCAGGCTGGTTTGGGAATAGGTCCGACGCATCGTGGGACGTGACGGATGGAGTCAGATCATCAGCTGAAGACTGTGTCTCCTCCTCTTCTTCCCCTGAAAGCAAATCCTTCGCTATTTGTTCCTTTTAACAACAACAAGAAAGTGAAAAATATTTTTAAATTTAAATAAAAACACATGTTGAGGGGTGAGGCCTAGAGTAAAGCATTTCTGACCAACAGGCAGCAGCTCTTACCTTATCCAGAGTCATGTCTGGGAGGTTTGGGGTGATATCATTGCTCTCACTGTCCGGCTCCGAGATGGGATCAGATGCCTCATAGCCATAAAGTGCCAGCAGCTCCTCAAATGGCATTTCACTGCTCTGAGCAAAAGGAGAACAAAGCTTCTTCAGGAATGGAACAACCACCAAAAACCACACCAGCTGCAGTGAACAGATGGGCAGAGGCAGACAAGGCAGCTCTGCTCTTCTAGGGGCTCTGAACAGCCTTGGGGCAGGGGGAAGCAAGGCCTGTCAGCCCCACCATAACCTGCTCTTCTCAAAGATTTAGAGAAGCCAAGAACTTTCACCCCAAAGCAATGCAGTCAAGGGCATTCTTAAAAAAAAATTATTTTTTATATACTAAATTTCATGCTGGTGAAGAGATGCCAGACAGCAGAACTCTATTCATACTGAGGACAGGAAGGAGAAAATCCCTACACTAGTCCTGTGTCTGACATAAAGACAGAGTCTCTGTGACCAAGAACACATTTTGTGTTCCACGAGTCCTCTGAGGACCACTCCCCAGGAGATGCACATTACTTCATCTTTGTGGTTCCTCTGCACGAAATGGACACACATGCAGCAGCTGATGGCTCTTTAGCAGGGCGAGCAAAGGCCACCTTGTCAGAGGGGCCACTTGGCAGAGGAAGACTCCAAAATTTACCACCGTCACCTGCTGTCAGAATCATCCTCCCTATCCAAATGTGAACCTAAGACTCATTGACAGGTGGACCTAAGCACAGTGGACAGCTCGTGACAGTGCCAGTACTGTAAAAGCAATCAAGAAAATCCAGCAGGTGATTTCCCTTCCCCTCCCTTGCTGCCTTTACCTGAGAGGCACTGAAACTCTTCTCCAGCTCTTCTAAAGATTTCTGCTTCTCCTGAGTCTCATCATCTTCTTCCCTTTCTTCCCGCACGCCATAGTTCTGTGAAAGGATCTCTGCGAGGTTCAGTCGGTGATCAGCTGAGCCCATGGACACAACTGCAGGGAAAAGAAGTTGGGGTATTGGCACCAGCCTGGACCAAACCCTCAGACACAACAATGCCTGGGATGAGCCCCTCTGCTGTGTTTACAGTAATGAGCCATTATTGCAATATTGGCAAATGGACACCTGTAGGAGCTCTAGCATCTCTTCCTCTATCCAATGGCATGGGAAACACCCAATAGATTCAGATGATGTTGGAAGGAGAAGGGAACAGACATGCTGACCACAGGGAGGCTTGTCTCCTCTGGAAACCAGCCCAACAAACAGAAGCAGACAAAGGGTGGTTACCTGCTGCACTCTGGAGGCCGCCGGGCTCCCCGGGACACAGGCTGTGGGCTGGGTAGGGCACCACCCTGGGGCTCTGCCGGCCCACCGAGGCCTGGGGGGGAAGAGAGAAGCAGGACTGAGACAGGAGACACTGCTGCTTAAAAACAAACACACGTCCAGCCATTTACCCCCACCAGCAAATGCAGTGCATTTAATTTCAAAGCAAAAGTTCACAAAAAAAACACAGGACAGCATTAGAAACCGTGCTGTGCACCAAGGGCTCAGGTGTGCTCAGCGGCTCCTCCAGGCCTCCCACTTTCCTCTCAGTCCATGGCTGCACATGGCGGTGCTTCCATTCCACCTTTTTCATCTTCAGCACTCCACTAATTTATCCTCCCACCACTTTAGGACTTCAGATACTTATGGCTTGTGTTTTCATGTAAAAGGAGAATTTTGGCCCTCAGCTGCTACCCTAAACACGCCATGCTGCTTTGAACATGTTCCTGTGCACTGACCCACTCCTCACAGAGGCACTGGAGCAGCTGGCCATTGCACCCTGGCTGCTCTCTAATGCCTCCCCACAGCCCCCCTCGGCTCAGGGGGAGACAAGGACACCCAGAGCTGAGCAGGCAGCCAAGGAGTCCAGCAGAACTGCGAGTGGCACAGGTGAGGTGGGAGGGGGTGAGACAGGGAGACACCAGGCACTTGCTCCTGGGCACTGGGTGCTGGCTCGGGTCAGGCAGCAGCGTGGGCTGAGGCCTGGGACACAACCCAGAACATCTGCTGCTGCCGGGGCTGCCCTGCCTGGAAGTGCTGCACAGGGAGCTCAGCCCAGGTGAGGAGCATCCAACTGTGAAAGGAAATCCCAGCATCAGTTCCCCAGGCACCAGTGACATCTCTTTAGGACCTCACCTATGAACAACCTTGGCTGTGCACCATCACTCCTCACCCATGCAGCCAGGATATCTACACCACCTTGGTACAAGGCTCTTGCGACTTACTGAGGGGCAGATGGTAGAGCTCCATGCCAAAACTCATCCTCTTACAGCAGCAAAGCACACACCAGAAACTCCACCCCCGACCTCGGGTTCCAAGGTATTCACACACGTACCACGAACTCCGTAAGACCAGAGAGGCACCCAACATCATGGTGTAACTGCCACCAAGACACGGGTTGGCCTGGAAGGCAGCAGAGGACATTGCCATTGGAGGGAAGAACCAAGAGGGAGGAAGGGGAAGGATCTGTGACACAGGTCTGGAATTCTTGCTCCTTCCTTTACCAGGACCAGTGGAAAGAAGATGCCTCTAGTCCAACCACACACACATGCAGCAGGTCACTGGCCCCAGCCATCTGGGCACTGACAGCGGGAAAACCCACAGCAGACTCCCCTGCCTGGCTGCCAGCAGAGCCCAGGGCCACGTGCATGGGATAACGAAAGGAGCAGGGAATGGAAAGGTGCGGAGCAGCTCCATTTGGAGGACGGTCATACTGGAAAACTGCTCCGTGACTTGGGGAAGTGTCACTGCCCCTTTATAGTGCCCCACTGGAACAGGGGACATGGCCATGCCTGGTGTCACCCAGCACCACGCCGAGGGTCCATCCGGCCAGGCCCGTGGTGCTCGAGACCGGGACAGCACCGGGCAGCAAACTCAGTAATGCCCGAGGGGAGGCCCTGCTGGCACGGGAGCCGTCTGGGCCGGCAGCATTCCCAGTCCCATGGCAGAGCAGCCAGACACCACAGGGACTTCCCAGGGCCCTTGTCCCAGGCCGTGGTCACCACGAGGATGGAAATGACATATGGATGCACCACGACAGGATGGGGATACTTCGAGTCCATGTCAAGACAGGGAATGGCACCACCAGCCATGACCATGGTGATGGCAGTGACAGTGACGTCCTGTCGTGACACCCTAACGTGGTGCCACGATGGGAGAGCTGGCCGGGCCGTCGGACATGGCACCAGGGACGAGCCCCCCTGGCAGGGCAGCTCTCCCAGTCCCAGCCGCACTGCCCGTCCCAACTCCCTGCTCTCCCGCTGTTGATCAGGCCCTGCCGTTCACCTCCACCCCCTCCTGG